TGTATGTGTGTGTGTGCTTGTGTATATATATATATACTTTACATGTAATAAAGAGTTGGGGCAGCATGATGATGGCCAAGTCAGACAAAAGGTAACAGTGTTTTCAAGAATACCCATAGTACACAAGCAATTCCTATAAGGTAAATTTTCCTTAAGCTCAGACATGGCATCTACACTCCTACATCTACTTCTACTAATTCCAACTCCATTTGTCCTTCTCTACTACAGGGCCTGAAATCCGTTGCAATGACCACAGAGCTCTCATAGAACCAAGGTTATGGGGTTTATTAGGGAAGTTGTTATTATAATTCAGATTAGCAGCAGGATATAATTTTGCAGTCAGGAAAGGCTTCACCCCTCCCCCAATTGGTTTACATACATCAACTCGTTTACATTGCTTTTCATTCTTGTACATCGTGTTTTATACAACTTTTCATTTACATTATATTTCATATAATCATTCATATACATTTCCAGGACAGCTTTTAAAGGTCCCAGGGTCTTCAGCATTCACTAGATTTTAGTCAGTGTCATGGAACACTACAAGGCTTCCCACCTTAAGCCCTCTAGTCCTCCAGAAATCTTGGGCACAGGACTCTAGCTCTGACTCCATTGATCAACCATTCTAAGACATTTCAGGTTTATATCAGTCTCTATTTCTTCACTGTGGCTATTGGTGCTCTCATTTAGGTCATTTAGGTCATTTAGGTCTTAGTCTGACTAGTAAAGAAATATCTGACCCTAAAGAATGCACAATGTATTCTCTGAGTCCTCTTCCTCTCTGATAATAATATTCTCCATCTTCTGCTGCTAAATCTGCTCAGTTTAAGCCTATTGGGATGGTGAAATTGGTCAATTCTGTTATGGAGGGGCAAACACACCCATTTACCTGCTCACACTCATAAACCAGGAGGCAAAAGTGAAAAATGGTGGCTGAGGAAAGCCTTTGTGAGCAATAATCCCCCTATATAATTATATCACTGTTGTTGTTAGTTGTTGTCAAGAAAACCACAGCTCATGGCAACACTGTGAACATCAGATTGAACGCATTCTCTAATCTTTGCCATGCTCACAATCTCTGACATGTTGGTCAGAATAACAAACAAAATTACCCATTCACTTCTGAAATAACATGCCTTTGTAAACTTTATGAATAATGTAAGAACAGTGTCAAACATAGTAAATCAATAGAAAAATAAATATATGTATGGATATGTATGTAACATACATATGACATATACAACACATTAAACATAGTTGTTGTTGTTATGTACCATGAAGTTGCCTGTGACTCATAGCAACCCTATATACAATAGCACTAAAGCCTGCCTTGTCCTAAGACAATTTCACTGACTTCCACATAGCTACCTCCATTACCCCTGTTAGGGTCTCAGTCCATGTCATCAAGGGTCTTCCTTTCCTGCACTGTCCTTCCACCCTTCCAAGCATGATATCTTTTTCCAAGGATTGGTCTTTTCTGGCCACACTCTCAAAGTATGTGAAACAGAGCTTCAGAATCTTTGCACTCAAGGAGAACCTTGGTTTCACACTCTTCAAGAAAAACCTATTTGTTTTTTTCATAGTCTATGGTATGTTCAATACTCTTCTCCAGCATGACAATCCAAAGGCATAGATTCTTTTTCTATTGTCCTTAATCATTGCAGGGATCTCTGATGTGTAGCAAAGTAATTGTGAAAACTCTGGCCTGGATCAAGCACCTTAGTCTCTAGACTGACCTCCTTGCTCCTTGCACTTTGGGGACGTCTCTTACAGTACACTTCCCCAGTGCAATTCAGCTTTTCATTTCCTGACTGCTGGTGCCAAGAGTGTTTATTGTAGAGCCAAGTTAACCAAAATTGCAAACAACCTCAATCTCTTCTCCATCTATCTTGGGGCTGGCAATTGGCACAGTGGAGAGAATCATTGTTTTCTTGATGTTGAGCTTCAATCCATATTGAAGACTACAGTCCTTGGCCTTCTATAGTAAATGCTTCAGATTTTCCTCAGTTTCACCAAGCAAAGTTTTGTCATCTGCATCATGCAAGTTTTTTATGTCTTACTCTAATTCTGATGCCACATTTCTCATCATAAAGTCCAGCCTCCAAATGATCTGTTCTATCTACAGATTAAAAAAGTATATACACAGGATGCATACCTGGTATACACTTTTAATCATGCAGTATTTCCTTATTTTATTCTGAGGACTGCTTCCTTGTTCAAGTATAAGGTTTACATGAGCACAATCAAGTGTTCTGGGATTCCCATTCTTCTCAAGGTTAGCCACAATTTGTTGTGATCCACACAGTCAAATGTCTTTGCATAGTCAATGAAACAGACATTTTTCTGGTACTCTTTGCTTTCATCCAAGATACATCTAACATGGTGATATTGTCTCTAGTGCTACAACTTCTTCTAAACCCAGCGTGTATTTCTGATAGATCTCTGTCAATGTACTGTTCCAATCATTTTAAAATAATCTTCAGCAGGATCTTGCTTGCATGTGATTGCCATGCCAATTGACATATTTCAATAAACATATACTGCCCTGAATGTGTTCACTAGGTTGTATCAAGAAATCTGGAAGACAACTGGAAGAAACCTGGCGAACTGACTGGAAGAGATCCATTCTTGTTCTCATTCCAAAAAAAGGTGACACAACATAGTGTGGAAATTATCAAACAATATCATTTATATCACACACAAACAAGATCCTGCTGAAGAACATACAAAACCAACTGAAACAGTACATCAACAGAGAACTTCCAGATGTGCAGGCTGGGTTTAGAAGAGGCTGTGACACTAGAGATGATATAGTGAATGCTAGATAGATCTTAGCTGAAACAAAGTGCCAGAGGAATGTGTATCTTGTGTTGCATTGATTATGCAAAGACATTTGACTTGTGTGTATCACAACAAACTGTGACTAATCCTGAGAAGAATGAGAATCCCAGAACATGTAATTGTGTTCATGGGGAAACCTATACTTGGAAAAGGATGCAGTCATCAGAAAACAGAGCAAGTAAATGGGATGGTTCAAAATCAGGAAAGATGTACACCGGAGATATATCTTATCTCCCTAACTGTTCAAGCTATATGCAAAAGAGATCATTAGGGAGACTGGACTCTATGAAGAGGAATGTGGCATCAGAACTGGAAGATTTATCAACAAATTGTGTTATGCCGGTGACACAGTCTTGTTTGCTGAAACTGAGGAGGACCTGAGACATTTGCTGCAGAAAGTCAAGGACTACAGTGTTCATTATGGATAGAAGCTCAACATCATGAAAACAAAGATTCTCACGACTGGATTTATTAACAGCATCATGATAGATGAAGAAGAGATTGAGATTGTGAACAACTTCCACTTGCTTGGTTCCACAGTCAACACACTTGACACCACCAGTACGAAATCAAAAGACAAATTTTAACGGAAAGTCTGCTGTCTGGGACCTCTCCAGAGTATTGAAGAGCAACAATGTCAGTTGAGAGACTAAAGTGCACTTGATCCAAGCCATGGTCTTTGCAATTACTTTTTGTCCATCAGAGAGCTGGACAATGACTAAGGATAGAATACATTCCTTTGAAGTGTGGTGCTGGAGAAGAGTACTGAACGGACAATGGGCCACTAAGAGAATAGACAGGTATGTCCTAGAGAGAGTGAAACTGAGCTTCTCCTTGGAAGCAAATATTTTGAAGCTCCATCTCACATACTTCCTGTCATGTGGTCAGGAAGGATTAGTCCTTGAGAAGAACATCATGATTGGGAAGGGTGTAGGGGCAGCGCAAGAGGGAAAAACCCTGAATGAGATAGCTTGACTGACTCAGTAACTGGAGTAATAAGAGTAGGTATGAGAAATAAAGTTAAAATTGACTCCGTGTATGGGAATTCAGAGCTATTGTACATAGGGTTGCTATGAGTCACAGACAACTCAAGTGCACAAAATAACAACACAGCCTATATAACATATAAAAACATATGTTACATATATAGCATATATAACTAACATATTTAACAAATATATAACATATGTATTTGTTTTTATATCCTCTTGAATTGTAACCGTCTCAAAACTTACTGACCAGCAGATTTTCAGAGGCTCTAATTAGCACAGGAGTAGATGGCCCATGTTTCCCACTCAGAGCACCTAGTGGATTCAAAATTCAACCTTTGTACTGACAGCAAAACTCTTTATCACTAGGCCTCTAGAGCTACCGTATATATCTAATATATATAAAATGTTTTACTGCTTTTGTTATGTGCTGTGGAGTTAGAATAGACTCAATAGACTCATACTCGACCCTCCTGTGGGCTTTAGGTGGCTGAAAATTGCACATGACATGATTGCCTATTTTTGTCCTGCAAAGAAATTGGTGGTTTTGAACCTCATATCTTACTTTGGGTACATGGCAAGGAGGGACCTGACCTTGGGGAAGGACATCATATTCGGAAAGGTGGAGAGATAGAGCAGGGGAGGAGGACCCCAGATGAGATGCATTAATAACAGTAACAGGGGCAATGGATGTAGGTGTGTCAGGGTCAGTGAGACTGGCTCAGGAAAGGGAAGCCTGCAGTGCTGCCATACATAGGGTCACTCTGAGTCGTAGATGACTCAATGGCACATAACAACAACAACAACAACCTCTAAGTAAGCAGTGTAACTTCTTACAAGTAGGCAACCAGAGCTAGCTCTCTCTCTCTCTCTCTCTCTATATATATATATATATATATGTGTGTGTGTGTGTGTGATTTATTTATTTTATTTATTATTATATATGTTATATGTAATAAGCAGGAGGATAGGTAATCTCCTCTTGTGAGATTAACTTCCTCTGCAAACCCATCAGTTCAGTCTAACAGAATACAATAACATATATAATAAGTATATGACATGTATAACACAATTTTTGTCCTAGTAATCCTTTTTCTATTTGCCTGTCTTTACGCTTTACCCACCATTTTCCTCAGTGCCCCCTTCACATCTTTATTCCTCAATGTGTAGATGAATGGATTTAAAGTTGGGGTGACAACTCCGTAAAATAATGCCATGAATTTGTCCTGGTCCTGAGAAGTGGTAGAACTAGGCTTCAGGTACATGGCTGTAGCAGTGCCGTAGAACAGGAAAACCACCACTAAATGGGAAGAGCAAGTCCCCAAAGCCTTTTGGCGTCCTTCAGATGCCTTGATCCTCCAAATAGCTTGACCAATGAAGCCATAGGAAATAAGAATGAGAGAGAGAGGCACCAGGAGTAAAAATGCACTGACAAAGAAGAGCTCCATCTGATTGGCTGTGGTATCTACACAGGAGAGTTTGAGAAGAACTGGTATTTCACAGAAGACATGGTCTATAATGTTATGCCCACACCGGGGAACCTGAATGATGAGCACAGTCTGTACCAATGAGCTAGCCAAACCAGTCACCCAAGTCATAACCACCAATTGCAAACAGAAGCGTGAATGCATAATAATGGCATAATGTAGAGGCCGACACACAGCAGCATAGCGGTCGACAGCCATAATTGCAAGAAGGATACACTCTGTGGAACCCATTGCCAAGGCAACATAGAGTTGGACCACACAACCTCCGTAAGTGATTGTCTTCTCTGGGCCCTTCAAGTTAAATAACAGCTGTGGGACTGTGCTTGTGGTGTAGCAGAGGTCCATGAAAGACAAATGACTAAGGAAGAAGTACATAGGGGTATGGAGTCTAGGATCCAGACAAGCCAAATAAATGATGGCTATATTGCCAAGCAGAGTCAGCAAGTAGAAAATAACAATGATAACAAAGAGGGTCATCTCTAGCAGAGGTTGACCAGAGAAGCCTAGCAGAAAAAATCCACTGAAGAAGCTGATGTTTGGGCTGACCATTATTTTTCATCGCATTGTTACTAAAAGAAAAAACACGTTTTCATCAGTAGATATTTGAGGTGATTAGAAATCTACATTTCTTCATCATTTTCTGATGGCCTGTTGAACTTATCCTTGAATTGTAGATCAACATTAACAATTTAAACTGTCTTTCTGTTTGTGCCCATCTCACTATAGTCTCCTGTATTACACCTGGGATTTTTATCTCTTGCTTATTTTTTTGCATAAACAATATATATAACTTTTACTTCTTCATTTCTCCTTTCAAACGTGTACACATATTTTATACCTCAACATGACGGATCCATGTAGTGGCTGTAACAGTGAGTTCAAGCATAAGAATAATTTTAATAATAGTGCAATATATGACAGTCTTCTGTCTGCACAATTTGACATCAAACAATAGCACCTAATAACAGCTTCAACTCATACTTAATTCATTGCCATTAAGTCAAAACTGACTCACAGCTGACCTTTGAATGGATTTTCAGAGATTATAAACTGCGTAGAAAGAGATGGCTCATCTTTCTCCTTTGGATTCCCCGGTAGAGTTGAACCGTCAGATAGGTGCCCCATTTGAGTTAGCAGCACAGTAACCTAAAGATTACGCCACTAGAAGTCCACTTAATCTCACTTCCCTATTTACTGCCCCTAACTCATTCTAAATAGGATTACTGACATATAATCAGAGGGCCAAGTGTCTAATGTTACTATTTTATATAATCCCTAACTGGTATATTTTTTTTAAAATCAATGCATTGTTGCCAGCAGTTTGTTTTAAATTAGTTGTTATTATACTCAGCATTTTAAATCTGCCTTATATTCTTATAGAGTCCTGAAACAAAACTCAGAAGTCCTGCAATTATCTCTGGACAATAAAACTAAAAGGTTAGGATTAGGTTCTTACTCCCTTCTGCCTCATCATTCTAAGAAATAGTATATGTTAGTCCCCATGTTTTAATATTTTTTTCCACTTTACTTATTGTGAAGGGGTCTCTGGTAGTATAGTCTATTGTGAATTGCCCTGCTAATTTAAGGGCCATGCACTTCCAGTAATTCAAGTGCTCTATGCACTACATGTTGGAAGCAGGAGTGGCATTCACTTCCTAAACAACCTGCCTCTGTAAACTCTATGAACTTGGGGAAAAGTCAATAATTACAGAAGGGCTTCAGGTCTTTTGTTCATAAGGTCACTATGAGTCGTCTAGACGGCAATCAACAACAATAACAACATCCACTCCACTCCGTGAGAGAAAGACGAGTAACTTTGTCCTATGGTGATTTACAAGTTTGTAAAACTAGTGAAGATTCACACTACGTTGGAATCAAGTAGATGACAATGAATGAGCTTTTACTCATTATGAAATTCTAAGTATTTTTATTCTTCCTCAACGTATCTCTTTTATATCAAATTTTATCCTCTTGCTTTCTCTCTATTGAATCATCTCCAAATGTTATTACATTTTTTTCTTCTTGTGCTGGAAAAACTGCTCAACTTTCCTGTAAATCATTTATATGCAATGAACTACTTGCTGAGACCATGTCTACATCTTCAGTTGAACCAGTTTTGACAGTGTAAATAGTATAATATGTCTTTGCAAAAGTATTTGTATTATAATTGAATATTTCATTGGGTTTATCTAACACTAAACCTTAAACCTGCGATGATCCCATCACAACAGTATATTCACTTTTTCCGGCAATTCAATTGAAAATTAGTCTTCCAAGTATCCTGAAAAATCTACAACCATGAGAAGATAAAATAGATGAATGGAACCTTCTAAGAATCAAATCCCTATGCACATCCAAAAACTTCTCCAAAAGGATAAAAAGGGAAGCCACAGACTGGGAAAAAGTGTTTGGTAATGACATGTCAGATAAGGAACTTGTTTGTTGTTGTTGTTATGTGCCATCGCGTCACTTGCGACTCATAGCGACCCTATGTACAAGAGCTCTAACTCCTGTTCTATCCTGTGCCAACCTAGCCACCTCAAACACACACTTGTTCCCACCGCTCCAGTCACAGAATCGATCCATCTTATCAAAGGTCTTCCACTCCTTTGCCGCCCCTCCACTCTGCCAAACATGATGTCCCTCTCCAAGGACCAGTCCCTCCCGCAACATGCCCAAAATATGTCAGACAAAGCTTCAGAATCCTTGACTCCAGGGAATACTCTGGCTCCACCCTCTCCAGGACAAACCTGTTTGTTCTCCTAGCAGTCCATGGTATATTCCACACTCTTCTCCAGCACCTCAGCTCAAAGGAACTTATATCTAGAATTTATAAAATACTTGAGAACCACGACAAGATAAATGTAAATAATCCAATTAAAAAATGGGCACAGGATATGAACAGACACTTGACCAAAGAAGACATTCAGATGGCCAATAAGCACATGAAGAAATGTTCAAAATCCCTAGCTCTAAGAGAAATGCAAATCAAAACAACTATGAGA